TGTCAACGACACCCGAAGTGTCAAGGTACAAAAGTGAAAAGACTTGTTCAAAGTTTGGAGAAATGCACTTAAGCATTCCATTGCCTTCTAGTGGGTAAAGGTCTTTCAATGTCGTCATTGGTAATGTTGAATTTTTTGATGTCTAAGACTTTCACGTTTTCGACATAATTAATAGTTAGAAGAACCAAGGAGAAACATTGGGCTGTCGGTTTCATCTATGTCTGGGTCTTGTCGAGCAACTAACATCTGTTCAATGTCGTCTTCGCTTATGTGAGCACCAAACTTGGTCACCAAAATGCCGACCAACAAACCCAAAATCCTTCGTTTTACTTCCAAGTAGTTTGTCAAGATCCATGGGGTGTTAGCAGCTTGTAACACAAAAGTCGATGACTCATGACTTATGCTGTGGAAAACCATAGCGTCAACAGACTCCTCCACATCTACGCCTAATCTTTTCCAGTCTTTCTGTGACCTCACCAACACTTGCTTTGACCAATTCGTATTTGGTAAAGAACAATCTGCAATATTCTGACACCTTGTCCAGAAACATAGAAAAATCTTCAGATTTGACTGGTGGGAGGCAATGCGTTTCGATATACTCTGCTGTCCTTTTGATCACTCTGTCATACGCGCTGTCTATGTCATTGCTAACCTTGAAATTACTATCACCTTCTGTGTAAAACGTTGCCAGTCTTTCAGCAATATCATTTTTTTGGAAATTGCCCAATGTGATGTCCGTAGTCGACACCAATTCAATTGCATCGTAGGCAAGCTTTTTTTCGTTCAAGATGAGCTCTTGATGTTTTACCAAACTTCACAACTGTTCTTCGTTGTGTTTTATAGCATTGAAGAAACATTCGTCTTCGGGCTCCACCATTTGTGGTATGATGTCATTCAAGATGTAGTTCTTGGCAGTGTTTTCGTCCAAGTTGTCCAACCTGATAATTTTTGCAGCCAAAAGTTCACGAATCAAAGACAGTGGCAAGTAAGTAAGAATTGAATTTTTCAATTCAAAGAAAGAAGTCGCCTTTTTCTCGTCCAATTTTTTTTCTTCTTGTTCTTCCAGTTTTAAGTGTTTATCGGCAACTTTAGTGATATCATATAATGCTTTAACGCTTTGAACCAACTCATATAAACGCCTTCATAGACTCCATGATTGTTTTTGTAATTAAAAAACTTAATAAGAGCGGATGTCAGCAAGCATCAAACAAAATTGACAATTCGTGGCAAGCTTCAAAAAATCGATTTTGCTCATACTTTCAGTATTGGTAGCCTATTATGTCCCAATCATCATGGTGTAGTGTATTTGTGAAAATATATTTTTGCTTTTGAGAAATAAGCATTTTTCCCGGAACGGGTAAATATGCTAATTAGTAATGCCTCAAGTTGGCCAACTTCAGTGACATCATGTAACGAAACTATCTAACCTTTGGTATTGATAACACGATTTTCTTATTGCCTATTATCAGTTCTTCGTTCACTGTTATTGTTGAAGATTTCACTGCAATGTGGAATTTTCTACGAATTTTTTCATCGGCCATACTTTTTCCTACTATAAAAGTAGCCTCAAAACAATGGTCATTTAAACTATGTGCGATACAACGAAATCCAATGAGCTTTTAGATTTTGGAAGATGAAGCGATGATACTTCTAATGAGATAAAAATTTCTTTGTGTATTTGAACAGTAATTACGAGGGGCGAGCTCAAAGTTACGTAAAATATCAAATATTAGTGACACTGAAATCGACAAGATCGTCTGGTGAGCCGTCGATTAATCATGTATACTATCTTAAATCATTTATAAAACTAAAGTTATAGTTGCTAACCTTGTTTAGTTGGTGAAATTTAAAGCTTCAATTGTGGTTTTATCAATTGTTTGTCAGGTTAAGTGCATCGCATCCRGTTTCAGGTAATAATGTCAGCATGGTACTGTAGAGCGTGACACTTTCCCAAAGGATTGTAACAGCCCTATTTGACATCT